GGAGGAGGAGGAGGAGGAGGAGGAGGAGGAGGATTAAAAATGGTAGAAAAGGTCAAGAAACAGTTGATGTCAAAAATGTAGACAGGATGACAAATTCAAATTTGTTGCCATTAATGTCTGAACTGGGTAGATGCATACTTTCTGTTTGGCTCATTATTAGTGCAGGCAAACTCATTGCTTTCTAAGTGCAGGAATGGATGACTGTTCTCCTCTCTCATTCCATTCCAAATGCCCCCTCGCCCCTCTCATTTTTCCCATCTTCAATTCAAAACTACTGTTTTCAACTCAAGCCATCCTGGGTTCTTCAGAAAGGATGGTCTCCATGCTTCATTTTGTTCCAAGAGCAGTTCTGACTGGCTCTGGTGCCTGGCACACACTGCCTCTCCTCTAATGGGTCATCCTGTCCTTTGCTGCTGCGATATTATGTTGTTTATTGGACAGCAGTTGCAAGTTGTTAATTTTAAAAATAACCCTGCAACTGATCTAACAATCACTGAAACATCCTCATCCCTATAAGCGTGTGCTTCATTCCATCTTTACATCTCTTGGTGAAGATAAAGACTGAATGGAATACAAGCTTTTAGGGTTGAGAGGATACTTTAACGATTTGCTCTTTCTGTCCAGACTCTCCTTTCTTTCCAACCCATTTCCTTAGTATTCCTGCATCTGGGCTTTCCCTTCCCGGCCTTTCATTTAATTTGACGATCTTTGCACTGCAATGTAGGAACATTGCTATTTTATTTCTGTGAAGATAAATGAACAGTTCTTCCTTGCTCCCCTTTCCATGGTCCTACAGAAAAAATGGTCCCTATTGCTTTGATACAATTGTGTCATTGGAACTACAAAAGTATCATAAAGGGGGTGAAAAACTCCCAGAAAGGATCTGCATTTGTGTCAAAGGAAGTAACATGAGAAGGGAAAGGGGAAAGTATCCATGCCTGCAAACATCTGGAGAAGCAAAGGCAAGGCATCAGGACATATATTATATATTATTATATATTATAATTATATATTATAATTATAGATTATAGATTAGGAATCGATCTCTAAAAGAAGAAGGCAGGCACAGGCAGTGCCCACAGGAGCCAATCAACAAAGAAGACTTGAGCTTATTTATTCATTACATTTTTAAACCACCCATCTTCCTCACAGAAGGACCTTAAAGCATGAAATTTGATAGGGTGACTTTGGGCCAATCACTGTCCATCAGCCCAACCTACCTATAAGGTTATTGTTGTGGGGAAAATAGGAGGAGGAAGGAATATTAGGTGTGTTGGCTGCCTTGAGTGACTTATTAAAAAAACAATAAAGGTGGGATTAAAAAAAATATTTTAAAAGGCTAATTGGAACTTGGCCCTTGTCCAGAGTAGAATTTCTGAAGCTGACATTAAGAAACAAATGGCTTAGGCTGCAGGGTGGAATTGCGCCTCAGTCTGAATCACTGTTTTCACTCTGGGGGAATTAGATAGAAATAATGTCCAGTAGGGGGTGAGGGAACTCTACCAGATGGAGTGGCCACTCCTTTTGGGACATTTCACTGGCCGACTGCCCTAGAGAAAACCCAGATGTTGTTAGGAGCTCCTTTTCACCAATTGTTCCCCTCTGGATTCTACAGCAGCCACCTCCAACCTGCTACTCTCCAGATGGTCATTCGTGTTATTAATGGGGAGTTAAGGCCATTGAAGTTTCAGCCATCTGGAGAATAAGAGGCTAGTAGGGAAGCTTGCTCTTTAAAGATCAGCAGGAAATACGTGTATAGATTCTTCCTTGCTGGATTTGCCTTCGGCTTTGGAGATCTTTGGAGATCAGTCTTTTTTGCCCTTAGCTTTGGAGATCAACAATCCACTTTCTGCTTCAGCACCTTGAGCAGCAGTTGGTATTTCATGATCCGCTGTACGGGCTTGATAAGTAAATCATTGAGCTGCAGGCGATGCCCCAATTCCTGCTTCAGTTCCTGGAAAAGAGAAATCGATGTTCAGCCAAGTCTGTAAAAAAAAATGTGTGGGAGATTGACTGTGCATGCTATACAGATACCACACAAAATGTGACATGCTTTAAAAGGACACCTGCAAGTGAAAGACAAGTATTAGAGACTTGCGAAAGCAAGATGGGACCAAAAAAAAAAAAAAATTAACATTTAAAAGCAGCTTCACACGCTTACATATTTAGAATGGAGCTTAGCATAGAAAAACATTTGTAGTCTACTATTCTTTACCTCTGAGCAGAAGGACCCTAGGGATAGGAAATTCACCAGTCTTTCAAAAGACCTTCCTTTCCCAACCCTTAGCTCAAGGACAGGTATTTCTGAGAGAAAAGACAGCCTGGGGCCAGTCAACAGCTGCTCATCTACTCCTTATGCCAATCTAAATAGTTAATACAGGCAACCTCTGATGGTACATGGCTTTTAAAGTCTCCCTCAACCAGGAGTTCTCACCTCAATTACGGCTAACAGATGCCAGGAGTTAATTCCCATGGGTTTCGCAAATCATTGCCTACCCACATTAAGATGAATGTGTGGTAGTGTGCAAGAAGAGGCAGATGTGTTGGGTGGCAATGGCTCCATACAAATGTTTCTCCTCAAGATGGGAGCTGCTAGGTGACAGGACCAAAAGAGGTTGCCAGGTACCCTGGAGTTCATCTGCGTTGGCTGAGAAAGGGGCACACAACAGCACAAAATCAAAGGTCCCTTATGCCGGCAGGAGATGAGTCAGACACAAGCAAGTTATGTGGTAGAAGCTGAGGGCAGGAAGAAAGAACAAAGCAGCAGTCAAGGCACATAGCCCCTTACCTCAAAGTAAGTGTCAATAAACTCAGAAACAATATGCTCAGATTTGGGTTTGTTCTGACAGTAAACAACATACATGTGCAATCGGCGCTCCTAGAATACAACAGGGAAACAGTTCAGTGGAACACTTTGGATAAAATTTTAACAACGTGTATGTTAAAGAGCCAGGTCCAAACCTCCTGAGCAATTTATACAAGTTACAAGTTCTGATGAAAATCTTACTTTATAGCACATGCTGTCTTTGCCTTTGGGGCTTTTTTTTAATTGTTTCATCGTTATCTATGCTTAAGCCAGCATTTGTTTCTATAATGCTTCCAATAATGCTTGGGGAAACTCAGAATTAGCTTCCTCTGGCAGATCATAAGCAAGGCATGTATAATTTTCATAACTTGTAGTTCACAGCTTGTAGTTGTAACCACTGAATATGCATACTTACTAAGAAATAAATGTAATATTTTTTCTGATTGTTTATATAAATATATATGTATATACTTCACATTTATTTGGGACCAGACCTTGTTTTGTTGAATGATTACAGTCAATTTTGTTGAATTATAGCAGTTTATTTTGTTGAATTACTACAGTTAAATAGTAGGCTAGGAAAAATATCTCATTTTACCGAAGTTTCCTTTTACAAAGGTGAACTATGGGTTAATCATGGTAATTCATTGGGGCAATAACAAAATAATTTTGTGAAAAACAAGATTCAGACAGGGTGTGAATGATTCATGGCAACTCTCCTCTCTTTGGAGTTTGATATTATTTAGAATGTAGCCCTGTTTTTTTTAAAAAAAGTACAAAGCTATCTGATCTCAGGCAGCAAAGCTCCTAGTTTTCAAAGATGCTTTTTGAATTTATAAATAGCGTTCAGAGTTCTTCATTACTGTATACTGAAATTGTTTTATTAAATGTTCTTCTGCAGCATGAACTTGACTAGGGCAGGTGTAGCCTTTGACATGGTATAGTCAATTCCACCTTCATTCTATTAGAAGAATGTTTCTTTCTCCAACCATCATACAATTGATGACTCCCATAATCACCAACTGAATGTTCAAAGGTCATGGTGCTTGAGGATTATGAGATTTAAAATGCAACAAAGTGGGGAAGTCTGTGCCACATGTAAATAACATTCCACTTTACAACTCTATACCTCATTTCATTTGCACTGTTATCAGGCTATTATCACCAGTTGTGGGACAATAATTACCAATATTCCTAGACAATGAAAAATCTCTTCTATTAAATATGGCACAGGTCAGGCTAACAAATGCTTGATAAGAAAAAGGGATCAATATCATCATCATTAGAGCATCTAGCTTTCTTAAGATGAGTAACAGATTTCCTCTTTTATACTTAAACTTGCACAATCCCCGAGTTAAGAAGCTACTGGACATGCTTTCCAGAGGAATTAGATGATTCAATCAAACAAAAGCTCTATCTAGGTCAGCATTCTGCATCTGACCATGGCCATTCTGAAAATGTTTTAATGCAAATGAAAAGGGTAATTGTTTTATCTCGGCCTTTAGAAACTAGAAATATATGTCCCTCGATTCAGAAATGCCATTTAACCATTCTGCTTCTTTTTCGACAGCTTTTCTACCCTCCGAATGTAGGGACTCACGTGCTTTATGAACAGCTCAGCCAGAAGATCAGGATCCTCCAGACATTTCTCCAGCTGCTTGAGTAAATAACTGTAGTTGGGGGAGGAGAGGGAGCAGATATGGTATCCATGAGATAGGTGCCTTTGTCCCATCCCTCCCATTCCTCCCTCCCCATCTTTTATATGCCAGATTCAAACCAAAGTGCTTTTCAATGGAGGCTAAGAAATAAAAGTCCTTCTTAGGACTGGATTCTTTTGGGAAACAAAGGAAAGAGGATCAGTAATCCATTCAACCATAAGATAGCGGCCCATCAAAGTTCTTGCCCCTTATCTTCATAATTTCATATTGGCCACATTCACCTAGATAGGTAATCACTGGGTCACTATTAACCCTTGTAATAATCCAAAGTTACACCAGATTTCACCCAGATATGACCACTGGACTACAGTTCCCATTACAGCCATTTGGCCTGATTATTGGAAAGTTCTACCTAGACCCCACAGGTTCAATAGAAAGTTCCATTAATACCACATGCCATGCTCTACCCAGAAATGACTGCTTTGTTTGTTCACTCACTCTTTATGCCAGTCATAGATCTGGTGGATGTTCCCAAAGATGATCTTATCCTTGCCCTTCATACTCTCAGGGATGCCACGGGTATTCATGGTCACCATATAGCCCTGCAAAATCAGAAGAAGAGGCTAGAGGGACCCTAGTTTGTTTCTTCTTTGAAAGATGGAAGGAGTAAACAAAGGAGGAAATAAGACAGAATTCCTGCCCTGACAGAAAGTACAGGTGATGGGCTCTGACTTGGTCAGTGGGAGAAAGGGAGTACGTGTGCATATATCTTATTTATAGCAACCACGGTTCTGAGGAATCCCTGAGAATCCCTGATATTCAGAAACACATCACAGATTCCTCAATGAGAGCAGAGCTAGCCAATTTCCTTTAAAAAAAAAAGTCTTCCCATTTTAAAATATCTTTCAATGAAATATGTCACAGGAGATTTTTGGGGTGGTAACATGCCTTTTGTCTACAGGGAGACATGGTTAACAACATGCTGACCTACTAAAACAAAGATCAAGTTATTTACCTCGAACATGGTATAAATACCAAGTTTGTGCCAAGTTGCATTACAAACTCAAAAATTCTTATCTAGAATGTAATATACTTTATAGTAGGATAGGCATTTTGTCTCCATATTTTGCTTGGACTTTAATTCCCATTACTCCAGTTAACGATATCTCAAAGTAAACAGCTTATTGGAGTTTAAAACTAAAAAATCTGGGGAATACTATACTATGTTGAGATTGATTTATATTTCCTCTCTAGTGCTTTTATTAGTTGGAGAAAAAAAAGTTGAACTGCACAAAAAGAAGCAAACAGGTGCTCTTTTTCAAGGACTTCAGAAAATATGATGACTGACAAGGAAGGGACACGCATTACTGCTACCTTTTCTTCCATTACTTGGTATTTTGGTATTCACCAAAGTTCAAGAATTATTTCTGTACTATCCTCTCCATTAAACCAAATCTCTATGACTATAGTGCTATAAACCGGAAAAATTTGAATTATTGCAAAAATGGGAGAGTTCAGCAAGAAATAACTCATTGGCAGTATTGAACTGAGGACACTTTAAAATAAAACACAAATTCATTTTAGATATGTAGTAACAGAAGCTCACATAAAGTGGGTAACAAGTTGAAGAGGAGGAGGAATGGAAGAAGACAGATCAGCAATAAGCACACAGAAAATTAAAGTCAGTAAACTATAAAAGGAAGCATTATTTTATTATAAAGGGAGGTTTTGCCCAACTCAAGAAAAGGTGTAACTGAACTCACATTTTGCAAAATAATTGTGTCTGACAAAATATTTTAAAAATGCAGAAAATGAAAAACCAGTTGTTAAAGATATTAAACACATAACTTGTATTTCTTTAATACAAGTTAAAAATATAAGAAGCAGGAAGAGCAATGAAACCATTACATGACGACAATATAGAAAAAGTCATTATAGGAGTCAGGGAAATTGGCAAATGAATCAAATGAATTTTGTACATTGGTCTTTACTATAAAAGTTGCTGGAAGTGTACCCATGCCTGAATCAGAATTGATTGAAAATGAATACATTTTTTTTCTCAAAATGGATCAGGGCTTTGCATTCACCCAACAGGTCTTAAAGAACAGTTGAGGAACTGCTGCAGCACGAGATCAAATGTGTAACATCTCTTAAATCAGACTTCTTAACAGAGAACTTGGAAGGCAGCCAATATATTAGCAATATTTTTTAAAAGAAATGGGTTGGAGTTGAGGGAGAGGAAAAAAGAAAATAACATCCAGGAAATTACTGGCCTGCCTGAGATGCATTGATGAAAAACTCAAGATCACTGATATTGTAAAAACGTGCGTAAGCACAAGACTTGTTAAGGAAGAATTATTGTAAAGGGAGGTTCTGCTCTGCCAGCCATTGAAAATACTGTACCATAAAGGCATCAATAATAAAGTTGGATATACAGTAAGTGATCCAGTTGAGTACTGTAATCTCAGCTGTTCAGAAAACTATAATGTGGTGAACAAGCAGCCTCCATGCAACCATCAACTTCCTCTTTTTGACAGCCTAGATCAGGGGTGTCAAACTCAATTTCCTTGTGGGCCAGATCAGTGTTCTAGTTGTCCTCCATGGGCTAGTGGTGTGGGGAGGAGTTGGTGGGCACATGCATGTGCAGCAGTCGGTGGGCACATGTGCACACAGAGTTGGCAGACGCATGCGTGCACAGGCCCTGCCCCCATCACAGCCTCCTGTGTGCACATGCAGCTACCGGGCCAGGCCTATGCGCATGTGCTCCTGCTGTCTCCTGTGCACATATGCGCCCACTGGGATAGCGTGGGCCAGGCCGAAGCAACACGGGCTGTCCCCTTACAATTTCCAGGATGGCCACACAGGCCGGATTCGGTCTGTGGGCCCTGAGTTAGACACTCCTGGCCTGGCCTACTCCAATTCTGTTGCTGAATACTGAAGATAAAATCAGTGATATTCAGTACTGAAAGGCTAATATTAGCACTGTTTTCCTAATACACTTCTTCCAAAACAAGCCTTCAATACAATGAGCCCAAATATTTTAGCTTTTAAGTAAAACCTTATCGAATTTTCAAAAGAGATATAAAAGAAGCCAACAGTTCCAGCCTGGCACAAAAATGTGATTTTAATAAATAAAATTCCTGACTATAAAAATGTTACTCGCCTTGCATTGCAGCAGTCAAACGTAGAGATATGCAAACATTTCTATTTCTGAATTCTAATTCCAATTCTAAATGAAGCAGTTGTTTCATGTTTGACCCACATATAGTTAGGATTGAAATAGATTTTGAATTAAAAATCAGGGCTTTTCAAGCTGAGTTTGAATGTCAAACAATTTGTACACAACTAGTCAAGACATAAGAGGGTAGACTGGTTGCTAGTTTGAAAGACAAGTAATTGAAGATGGAAATAAATAAATAGGGCCCAAAATGGAAGTAAACACAACAAGCTGATTCAATGTTAAAATTTACAATTAAGACATTCAAAAGAATATCGCATTGTAAAATAATGTGCTCTCTACAGGATATTACATTCCACCCTGTTTTATGTTTCCTCCAGTAGCCAATATATGAGAGTAGCCAATAAATGAGAAGTGCAACCACTTCTCATTTGAATCTTTGGGATTTTACTTTCACCAAAACTTTGTCAAAATTTAATATACTACCAGTATGAACTTCGGGACATAGCTAGCCCCATCTCAAAAAAATGAGACACAGACTAGAGGAGACAAAAAATTGAAGGGAAAAGTCTTCTCTTCGTAAGATACTGAGGTTTTCAAACCTCAAAGGAGCTTGGGTGGCAATGCAACAAGTCCCCAATCACACAGGGTTTGCCCTGGGTCAGTCCATAGTTACTTGACTGGCTCTTCAGACTGAAGATTAGAATCAAGCATTAATTTTCTTTTTCTTCTGCTCTTGTCAAGCAAGAAGACAGGCAGTCTCAAGCAATCTACTCTCTTTGGAGGAGGGAAAATACTTTTCCCAAGATCCCAAAAGATCTGGAGATGACCCGCTGATGGATAGGGAATTAGTGTCTAAGGTGTAGAGTATGTGTGTGCACCTCCACAATCTGGCCCAGGTCTTCCACGTACATCTTCTCGGTTTCAATCAACTCCCTGAGAACAAACCTGCAGACAAGACGAAGCAGCAGTGTCTAAGGGGAAGGAAATGCATTGTGTGAGCCCTTTCCCCTCTTTTCTTATGCACGGCATCCCTCCCATCTTCTTATTCTGCACACATGTGCCACTTACAGACATACAGTCAAGCCTTCTCTATGCAGAGGAGACTCTTGTATGACTCAGAGAAAGGACCTTGTTTGCAAGCTGCTTAAGATGTGATAGAGCAAGTATGATGCAAATATCTAAGGAGCCAGTTTTTCCTGAAGTATTACAGGAATGTTGATGCATAATTAACAACTGGTTCTATATAGCATGTAGTCCTAGCACATTTGGAATGAAGACTTAGGACTTGATGGGATATACCCTGAGTACAAAAGCTATGAAATAACTCTTGTTTCACCTACATTAAATTTGTGCCTCTGTGCTTTTCTATATCCTAAGGGTCTTGGGCCAATGTCTGCTACATTGGCCTTCCACCTAGTTTTGTCTTTGTCCCTTTCTCCCATCATGGTTGTAAGCTACTGCACCAAGGAATATCACTTACATACTCTTTTCTAAGGCACTATGCCTCTCCTCCTCTTCCTGCTCCTCAGAGTTTGTGGGTTGCACAAGAGGCTCCAAGGTAGACTCTGGAGTTCTGGGATCAGTGGGGAGCAGAGAGGGCTCAGGATCCTGCCGAAAAAAGAAAAGATTCCATTACATGTTAAAATTTGCAGTAGACAATAATAGGTTAAAAGGCAGGTTTGGGATTCAAGGCAACTCAAAACATTTTACTCAAGCAAGAAGAGTTACTGTAGTGTCTCATTTCCTCTAATGTCATTCAGAATATGAGGAGTTTGATGATGCACAGGAAGGAATATTAATAAAAAAAATCCAAGTTCATTTTTCCGGTTTGGAGCAGATTACTTGTTTTTGATGCTGGACACTATTGACATTGGGCATATATCCCTTTTGATTTCCCAGCTTCTGAAAAGCAATTTAAAACCTCTTCACTTCTGAAATTTTAGAAGTTATGAGGTAAATAAAGCAAATTGCTGACCCACCATGAACTGTTCCAAGTTTTGCGGTAACAAAAATCCCAAAGGGAAAGAAAATACACTAATGCTCCAAATTACTGGAGGCAGGTAATTGATTCTTTGCCAAAGAAAAGAAAGTTACAGAACCCATTTCTTTTTAAACCAAACCAAACCAAAAAGCCCTCCCAATTTTAATGCCTTGTTTTCCACATACAGTATATGCGGAAAGCAAAACTGGTTTATTTGGATTTGGTTCTCAGGTCAACTGTTTTTAAAAAGTTAAAGAGGTATATAATCTGCGAGCAAATCAAGCACTGCTTCTCAATAAGATTTACATCAATTTCCAAAACTGATGTTATTTGTAAAAACTAGACATTCACCCTTCTCTGATGCCTGCCAAAATTCACAATGAAAGTATTGTTGAATTCTGTGGTTCTTGAGTGCAACCTGTTTCGTTCTATATTTTGTTAGAGAAAGATTTATATGGAAACATCAAACTTTTTCCACCTTACCTAACTATTATGGCTTTTAAACTTCAAATCTACATAGTATTATTATAAATCAATGAATGCCTATTACAAATATGTTTTGAAATTTGCTAATAATGTTTTGGTCAATAAAGCATTAATAGTCTGTTTGTAGCCAGAAATTTTTACATATAAACTTCTGAGTAACAGTGGGCTTCATCTGAACATAAGAACCTATCATGTGGAATCAATCCGATAGTCTAAACCAGGTATATCCAACCCATGGCCTACAGGCTGCATATAACCCTGGACCCCCAGTAATGGGCTCCCACAAGATCATAATAAATATATTTTAAAATGAAAAAAGTTTGTTATGTATTGTATACATATATTAACTATATTATATATTTTATATGCGGTCCAAGACAATTCCTTTTCACTCAATGCAGTGAGGCAAGCCAAAAGATTAGATACACCTAGTCTAATAGTCATATACTACTTAAACACAATGGCTGTAGCTCCATCAGTTTTTCACTTGAATCTTGTATTTAAGTAAGACAAAGGATTAAATTTGGGACCTTACATATAAAGTTATCCCATCTAACTATTCAGATAAGAAACCCTACATGCACAAGGAAGGGTTATTATTAGCAGTTACCAACTTAATAAGTTAGGTGGTTTTGAGATTTTAGAAGATTCCCTTAACCTCAGCTCTGTTGCTGCCATTTTTATTTTACTTTCTTTTTTAATTGCTCTCATGGTATACAGAATAATTTCTTTTCTCCTAGCTCCTTTTGAATATTGGTATTCCTGAACTGTAAGTAAAGTACATATTGGTTTCTATGAAGATGACATAATTCTTTAAAAAGGGAAATTGGCTCAAGAAGGGAAAGAAAAAGAAAAGGAGAGAAAATAGGCTTTAAATCAGAACTGAGACCAGTTAAAGAAGTCATCATAAGATTGTCCAGCTAAACTATTCTTTGACTGCCTTTGGCTGCAGCTAACCTCATTTCATGCAACACTAACTGCATGAGTTGCAAATATTTAACTTCAATGTCAAAGTATTTTTCTGAACCAAGCTAGGCAACAAGAGTACAATTTTGGAGATTTCTAGCCTATATCCTAATGTTGTAGGAACTGTATTGACCTTCCCAGAGAAAAGATAAAAATACATAAATTTATATTTATATAAACTCAGCATATATATTTAATGAAATAAATAAATAAACAAATAAAAGTATCCTGATGGTTGGTGAAACAAACCCTCCCAAATTTGCTTCCAGGAGTAAGAAGACATTTTATAGTGGCTCGATCTTAAAATTCCAAATGTGTTCACCGCTTCAGAAAAATAGTTGATTCTTCTTTAAAGTCTGCTTAAATATAACATCATCCATCAAGATGTGCATTGAACAACATCTAATTCAAGACATTTTTTTCTTCCTGCCTCCCCCACCTTCACAACCCACCTGGCTGGGTGTTTTTAAGCCATCTCCTTCTAGCAGGTTGGAGAGTAAGGGAAGGTCTGGGAGATGAGTATTGCCATCCTGAAATTATAAGGGAAGGGTATCAAACAACTTCATACCAGGTTTATAATAAAATATACAGATATACAAAACTTTCTGATCCTCCTCTTTTAAATTTCCTTTAGATAACAGCACTACTCCTCACATCATTACACAATTTTAGCACCTGAAATCTCTGGCCATACTCTACACAGCTGCCAGTTTGTTCTACCAGCAAAATTAGCACACTTAATCCAAGCCTTTCTGTAAATCAAAGTGTTTTTTTTTAAAGGCATCAAGATGCATCTAGGAAACTCCATATTAACAAAAAGGTTACAAGACAAACCAGAATAACTAATGCTATTGTACTGACACATGAAAAAGGACAATCATCCAATGCAATTTTGAAGGCTGTCTCTTTCTAATTCACTTTGACCGGCAATAGGTGATCAGATGTCTCTGATTCATAGTATCATGTGCGTCATGATGCTGGTGTTCTTCAACAGCATGTGTGTTGTCTTGTTTGCTCAAACAAACCATTTGTTCTATGTCTTGCAATCTAGATCAACCTCCCCAACTTGGGTACCCTCCACATCTGTGGAGCTTAATTTAGGGAATCCTCAACCACAGACATCTGGATTGCAGGAAACTAGCCTAGATTCAATGGACTATTCTATCAGAGCTGGGGGCTGCCTAATCCTGCCTTGCAGTGAGGGACTGAACAAAATAGCTTTTGTTTGCACAGGCATGCATTTCTTTGCTCTTACAGTGCTGATTGACTCCTGTGGAACAGCAAAGGGTCCCTCTGGTTGGCTGAGGAGGCCTAGGTCAATACTCTTGCGTTCCTCCTGGCGCCCATGGCGCCTTGTCCGGCCTTCTGTTTTCCTGAGTGGGCGTTCTCCCCGAGGTAGCCCACCACCACTTAGCTTGCGAACAGGGTTGGTAAGCCATTTCTTGAGGGTGCTAACTGAGTGGCGGGAAGCCGGGGAACTGGGAGCTGAGCTGCTAGATGCCTGTGGCTGGATTGAGGCCACTGAGGCAGAGATGCTGCCATCACTGCCTGCAACAGAGTACGGATCTGCAAGAAGAAGACAGAAACAATGAGTGCATCATGACAAATGTTAAGCGCCAAGGCGAAACATTCAAGTAAATGGACTCAAGACTGCCAAATAAGTTATACTCCATAATCTGGAAGTCCTTCCACTAGTTACAAAAGCATATTTTATGGTATTCTATACATTCTCACCGAGGACAGGATCATCACTCAATGTTGCAGTATACATGTTGCACTTAGAAACAAATCCAGTTGAAATAGCCTGAGGTAGTAAGGTGGGAAATGTCCTTTGTTGTATTTTTTTATTTTATTTTTCCTTCCCAGAGAAACCTCCTATGTTGTTGGTTCGTTTATTATCCTATTTTCCTTCAATAATAGGATTCATTGCTGCATGCATGGGGCTTTTGGCTAGCCTTAATGTACACACTGATCAAGCTCAATCCTGTCCAGCTTCAAAAAAAGATGCTGCACTATTTGCTCTCATGGTTATCAAGAAAATGGATAGCAGAAAGCGGGCCAATGTTCTGTCAGCATTTGAAGACCAAAGCATGAAATAAATATGAATTACAAAATCTTGGAGGCTGTTATGGTTCGCCGGCAGCAGGTATGGATGGCAGAACTCTCTGATAGTGAGGACTCAGACGAGGGGCCTGCAGGTGATGCAGGGATGGGCCCAGGACTATTAGAGAGTGGGGTGCAGGGCTGCTCGAAGGAAAGAGCAGCTGAAGCAGCTAGGGTGACTCAGGAGTAAGGCTGGAAGGTGATGGCCCCTTCCAGAGGGGATAAAAGCCAGCCCTCGGGGATATATTCTTTGCAGGAAGCAAAGAAGTTCTTTAGACTCAGAGTTCTTGTCGAAGCCCTGCTTACTCCGGCTTGTTTTTGAAACTTGTCGGTGGATATTTAATCAGTAATTAGTCTTCTGTACTTGGCACCCTTTCGCAACCTTGAAAGAGCTTGCTTTTGATATTGGAAAATTAGTTTTAACTGACTCTTGGCTGGGAATGCAGAATTCCCAGCGCTGCATTAAAAAAGGTTTGCTTTTTTACACAGTTTGTGTTTGTTTAATTTGAACAAGGCTTGGGTCAGAGAGGCATCGAAATATCATTTTATGCTTTGTAGCAAGGATGGTAAGGTTTTTCTTTTGTCTCTGAATCATATTTGAACTGGTGACCATACTGAAAATTTAGAGTACATAGTTAAGAGTTGGTAGGAATTAGGACCCAGTCATTTGGAAACAGACCCCATGATACTTCTTCAATAACTAATTTGACGGATGTTTATTTATCTTTCAGGCTTATAGAATGCTTCACTTGTATTCAACTCTAAGCAGCATACGTGCATTCTTCATAACCAGGATTAAAATCAAAGAAACCAATCACCAATATGAATACTAAAAAATCCTAAGTCAACAAGAAAACATTATTTCAATATAATCAGTCACAAAATGCAATGGGATATCTGCACATCATTAAACAACCAGGTGTTAATGGTCTTAATTAATGTCAAAGAGCTGAAGCCACTCTAATTGCATCCCTCTGCATTCTCCAAGCTTATTTGAAATGAATACTAAATTTCATGTTACGCTTTTGTTTCAAAAATCAGTGCAGGTCCTTATGCATAAGGACAGCCCCCTTGTATGAACTGCAATATGCTCTACATGGAACTGCTCTTGAAGCCCACTCAGAAGCTTCAAATGATTGAGAAAGCAGCAGTTTGGGCACTGAGGAACATGTTGTGTTATGCCACATGATAGCCCTGCTTCATAAGTTGCACTTGTTGCCAGCCTGCTTCTGGATGGGATTCAAGATGCTGTTTATGACCTGTTTAGTCCCATGTGGCTTGGGGTCTGGTTATTTGTGGGACGCCCTATCTCTCCTGATGTCTGATTTGATCTAACAGGATTGGCATGCTCCAAGGTCTTTCAAGTTAAGCAGTGTCATTTATGAAGACCTCAGAAGTTTGATTTCTCTAAGGCAGTACCTGCCCTCTGGAATGAGGTTGCCCCTGAAATTTGGTAGCCAGTTGGTATTCTCAAAACCTAAAAGACTTTCTAGATTGTGAGCTAGGGTGATTGGTACCCGTTGCTGGGTGGGTGATATGTGTTTTTCTATCTTTGGCCAGATTCATCATCTTGTTTAATGTTGTACAGCTTAATCGTATTCAGTGTATTTGCTATTTTGTCTATTTTGTCCATACTGTCATGCACCCAGAGTTGATCTGGAACTGGGTGGTACCCAAATCAATCAATCAAATAAATAAATAAACAAGCAAATAAAATGCCTTATAGCACATCTGCTTTATAGGTATTCATTGTAAACCCTGTTGGGATAACATCAATGCAATATGAAAATGATCAGAAGTTGCATTAGCAATAGTCCTATGTAATTAGCAAAAACTTCAGCGTAGCTTGGATATTTTCTTAAATGACAGAACACCTGCATATTTATTTCATATATGTCACACAAAGTTCGCTCTCCCCAAATTCAGCATCCAGTCTGTTGAAAAGCCACTGCAAGTGGCTGGTGCCTCAATTTCACTAAAAGCAAATAACACTCCTGATATTAAGGACATATATTGAAGTGAACTGAATGATTTTGCACTGAAAATGTTTCTCTCTCTCCCTTCCCAACCAATTTCATGAACAGGATGGGGTTTTGTTTTTTTGAAGCGCAGCTTATGCCTCTAATCAAGACATAAAATTCAGTAAGAGCAAGACTACAACCATTTTCCTAGGAGACACAGTCTTTATTTAAGTGCAACTGATGGGCCTAGAGAAACTGAAATCTGAAGCAAAGACAAGATATTAATATTCCTCTCCTATATTCTAGTAGTGAGTTGACATAATGAAATAAAGTTTAAATTAAACCCTGGTTGATGGGTGCAGGTGTTCATTTGTATGCATTAATATTTATAGAGCATGTATGAAAATGCAATCAACTGGGTGAGAATAAAGACTAAATTTACACAATCCAAGTTCTGTGAGAGGAAGTAGATTGATTGAGCTGTGTACAGAAGCAGTGATGAAATCAGCTACACAATATGGGTGATTTTTCAAATAAATCCTAAAGTTACTAGCTCAATAACATCTTATTCTGGACAAGACAATAAACATGGGTTGCACTGCAAGCTGACTACATAGTAAAATGATTGCATGCAGATTTATGCCAGATTCATACAAACTGATATGTACTTGAGATCTAGGGTTTATTTATTGTCTGATGATTGGCTGAATCTATGAATGAAAGAGCACATACACAGTTTTATTTTACTGTGCATCAGACAAAAACCATCAATTAATATAATCATGGGGAGGGAAATCAAGTAAAATTCATACATTTGTGAACCAAGAACTGATGGCTCACAGGTGAATTAATTTTTGTTGTTTTTGTTAATTTTCTCACCTTCTTCATGGAACTCTATGCAATATACATAGCCCTGTCCCTTCTAGTTCATCCTTCACAATTACCATCTAAGGCAGGGTTGAGGAACAATAGGTTGGGGAACAATAAACTTCCTTATAGCTCTCTCTCTCATCTTACTTCAGGGTGGGAAACAATGGCCCTTTTATGACTTGTGGACTTCAGCTCCCAGAATTCCTGAGCCAGCTATTCCATTGTTCCCCACCCCGATCTAGGATGAGAGAGAAGGCTATATGAGAGAGAAGGCTCATAGGGTTTGATAACCCTATGAGGATATATTAATTGAAGTCTCCTTGGCCCTAATTTACATTATAAATATTAGAACATACTTGTAAACTGATTCATAAAAGTTCAGGGATGTTATGTGAAATCTGTATCTGCTTCATTTCCATAAAAATCCCTGAGATTTGGTAATCAACTATTCAGTATGACTGTGTACATTACTTAAACGATATGGGAGAGTGATTCAAATATGGCTCCGCTTGAGCAGTTTTTACCATACATCACCATAAAATCTGAATTTGATGAAAAATGATTCAAATGTGCTTTAAATCTGCAATGAGTTTCTATTCTCCAGATGTTGTTGAACTGCCACTCCAGGAATTTCTTTCACCATTGACTATGCTGGTTAGGGATCTTGCAAGATGGAGTCCAGAAATATGTGGAAAAAGCAGTTCCCATATCTGTTTCAAAACGAATCAGGGTAGTCATGCTTAGTTTCAACAGAAACGTTTGGTTTGGCTACTTTGGCCCATTTTCTGCTTACTCTCATAAAGTGAGCCTGAATGCATGGAATTATATCTGAAAATGCACACTGGAGACACTCCGATAAATATCTGTAAGCCAGCAGTATAGTCCCAATGCAACTAGCAAGATAAAGGAGTCTTGTTTTCAGGGATGAAAAAACCACTGTATTGCAGTAATAACCCATTTAGCCAGGGGCCATAATTCAATACAGTGGCATGGCACCTGCTCCTGAAATAACACTGCCTGCGTCAGGAAGTAGAGATGTGTCAAGCCAATGCCACAGGCATCTAAACCCACCTAGGAAACTAACACGACAGTGTGAGGGGTGTTGCTATGGCAACCAATCAGCTCTGTACATGTCCATGGTCTACTTGGGATGAAGGCTTGGGGGGGGGGAAACAACTTGCACCCACAAAATATAGCGTGTAATGTCATTCTTACCGCTGCTGCTTATTACTCCATGATCTGAAGCCTATACTGTACCTGAAGTGCTGAAATTCGTGTTGACTAAATGTTCTTCCATAGAAAATATTACTTCTAGAGAAAACTAGCAAGTCAAGGATAAGGTTGAAAGCTTATGTAAGGACTGCTAATGGAAAGGAGAATGGAAAGGACTTCTCATTTGCACTCTAAAGTGAAATAAATCAGAGCAGCTTTACTGGGCTCCAGTTTTTGTTTTTGTTTTTATTTACAGACTCTCAAAATCAAATGACTTTAAAGAAAAGTTCAAATTGGCTGTCTGGTCCAAGCTTGCAAGTAGTATCTATATATGCATGTGTGAACCACTTTTAAGAACAGTTTATGTAGTTTGTATTTACCCTTAGTCTAGATAATTGTAAATGTGGCTGTGTATGCCAC